AACGTTTGCTTAGCTTTTTGTCTCTCTGCAGCGGTAGATATTTCAGATCATCTCTTTGAATATTTTCTCCCTTCTGTAAAAAATAATTTTCTACTTCTCTCTCTTGTGATTCGCTTATCCATAGAATTTCTAACACCCATTTTTCCGTGTTTTGCGCACACACAGACACACAGACAACCATTTCGTAAGACCCTAGACTAAAGTCAAGGGAATAATATACGATTAAAGTTTAAAAAATGAAACAGTAGACTTGTTTTCTGGCAGTATTGTTGTCTGCTTCAAGAAAAGATCTGTTCTTTATCTTATTCATGCATTTTCTTGCGCTCTCTATTGTTTCATTGGTGTTTTTTGTTGTTTACATTCAGATATAAGTTTTTTCCCTGTTTATTCAAAGAGTTTGAAAATGACTTTAGTGTACCACATCCAAGGAGTAAAAAGCACATTTCGGAATGGGTACAAAATTTCTGGAATGGCGGGGTGCCGCTCTAAAAGGAGGGAAGCTGCTTTTGGAATAAAAGAAAGTTTTTAGTTTTGGTCTAAATCTTGGTCTACATACAACTAAGCTCGGTTTCTAAAAAATAGAATGCCATTTTGGAATGGCAGAATGATATTTCACAATAAACGAATGGATACATTTGTCTTGTTGTGGTTTTTCCTCCTTGACCTCATCCCGAAGAAAAGTCGAGTAAGACGTGGTCCATTGGATGAAATAGAATAATCGAGAAAATAGTTGAGCTTGTAATAACTTGCTGAGAAAACTGTAGAACCGTACTTTTGCTTAATATTTCTTGTGATTGAATCGTTTGAGTCAATGTGTACGAGATGTTTTCTAGAGATTCGCAGAGAACTTTATTTTGATGTTTCTGAATGTTTGGCAAGTTTTAGATAAAAAGAACAACGCACTTTAGATGACACTTATAGATAGCCTGACGGCTTTGGGGGCTCGCCCCATTTAGATTTCCCAGATTGTAGAGAAAACATCGAAATATATCTTCTAAAGCTTTTTCGGCTTACTGACATTATTTGAATGAGAAAAAAATTATGTTAAATAGCACAGAACTACTTTTAAAAAATTTTCTAGTCTTTTCTCTTTTGCCATAAAAATTTGGTCTTTCCTAAATCGATAGAGAAATGTGCGGAGAATATTTTCTACGGGAAGAAAAGAAAAAATTGGCTCTTTCCTTCCTGCTAGTATCGATGCCAATATACAATACACCCGGTTGTTTTTGCAATAACTCAACAACGATAAGCGTTAGAGACTTACGGTTTTCAGCAATAGGAAGCAGACATCTGAGATTAGCTTTCCACGAGCAGAAACGATTTTTAAAAAAGCTCTGAAGTCGATTTTAGAGCAGATCTTTCGAAAACACTTCAGATCTTTGAAAACTATCATAGAAATCTATCGATTTCTTTTCAGAGATATATAGCAGAAAGTGTCTTCTACAAAACTGGATCTAGGCGATATCTTGAAAATTCATGGTTCGGGTCTGCTAGACCTTTTCTTCGAAGCACTGAAGCTCTTCTTCTGTTAGGCTTGGGACCAGTAAAAATGCTTGGAAACATAGGTTATCGACTACGCTGAATCTCGTGGAAATGTTAGTCTTGAGAACAAAATGCAAGAACCGAGTAAAAACCTATACTAGGTCAAATAATCTATTGCTGGTTATTTTTATGTAATTTTAAAAGATTCATAACTCAGTCAAAATCCATCCAAACTACTTCAGAATATCAAGATATACTTTATTTTATCCACTGAATCTGATTCTATACTTACGGTTAATAAAAAGTATTCTTTTGATTCTGAAGGTTTCTGAAAAACCATTCAAAAACAAAGTATGTTCTGTTGAGTTTTAAAACACCCTTTGAGTTTTACCGTGTACTGCACATATAACAGAGTGTACCTTGATATTCTGAAGTAGTTTGGATGGATTTTGACTGAGTTATGAATTTTTTAAAATTAGATGAAAATAACCAAGAATAGGTTAACCTGAGGAAAAAATAACTAAGAACGGGTTAAATATCTGTAACCTCCTCAACCGAAATGAATGACTTAATCAGTGACAGTTGCGCTTAATGCAAAAGGATATGAACATTTATGTACATATTGTGTCAACACAGACAAAGAGAAAGACCATATAATAACAAATCTTGTAGAGAATGTCTATCTCTCCCAACCGGCTACCTTTGAAAAATTTATACTTGAGTTACCTGCAAAAATGAAAAAGTCAATCGCTTTAAACAACATGAGATTACATATTAATTTTAACTGAACTACAATAAGTACATGTAGTTTTTCAATGAGTATTGAATGTTATATTTATAGTTATTTTTGTTGACCAGTTTTAGATAAAGTAGAGAAATTTTCTACTACTAGCGTAGTAGTAGAACTAACTCCGGTACAGGTAGTTCATGGATCAGGCCGGGTACAGATGAAAAAATAAGTTTCGGGTCGGGAAACGGTACCAATGTACATCTCTAATCCAGACTATCTGAAAAACATCTACAATCGAGAGGCACCAGTTACTTTTCGCTAGTGTATTTTTCTACTCTAACGGTGTCTGAATTTTTCTTACTTTTTAGACTATTCAGATAAATGTCTGCGAAAGGAAACTCGAAAAAGCGACGAGTGCCGAATATAGCACTGGAAAAAGATAGTAACATAAAAAACGTGAAAAAAAGTGTTAATGAAATACGAAATATCGAGCAGTATGTTTCAAACATAACGGCAACATTGGCAAACGATATTATGGTGTTACTTATCGATTATTTCGATGGAAAAATTGATATTGAAGTTGTTGAAGAAAAACTAAAATTACTTACGATAGGATGTCCATCATTAATGTATAGACATATTATTTATGAGCTGTATTATGATGATAAACAATTGTTGAAGAAATTTTATTTTGTTTTATTATCAATTATAATAAATAAACATTATACTCGATATTCAGCGTCAAATTCCAAATTATACAATCGAAATATTCGTCAATTATTAAAACTATTTGTAGAAAATAATATCCTCGAAAAATTCGAACAAAATCAGACAGAAGATGTAAATTCGTCCCCTGAATTTTCGTTAATTAGTACATTTATGTTAACGATTATATCTCATGATAATATAACAACGCAAGATATTCATTTATTTACAACAATTTTAATGGATCCCATAATCACAAAAACTGTAGCAAACTGGCCGATATTAAAATCCTTATTACAGTTATTTCGTCAAATATTGAATGTAAGATTATCGTTTACGCTCATATTTTAATTCGTCTTTCTACCAAAAACGAATAAATTTTTGAATATTTTAGGTTCAATTTGTACAAGATTTATATTTAAAATTGATAAATGACGAAATTAAATATTCACAACATTATGATAAAAAATCATTTGCAGGTAATATAATTGTGTTTCTTTTAAGGGTGATTCAAATTCTCGATTCCAATATCATCCGTTACTTCTCTAACTCGGAAACTGCTTCTAATACATCCGAATGGATACTTAATTTTTGCACCAAAACGTAGCTATAATTGTCGCCTGTTGCTGTATAGATTTCTTGTGTCGGCACTAACGAGGGAAGTACCCCAACTGTTTAAACGCTTTTGGCCTGAAGCTTAGTAGACAATAGGTAATCGAGTGTGCTGGATCCGAATATCACATTGGTTTGGGCCCAATTTTGGTTTAGAGAACCGGTTTTTCAACGACCCGGTCTTCAAGCTGGAAAACTTTTCGAAACAAAAAATGTTTTTGATCCAGCCATATGAAAGAGCTCATCGCCAAATCTAAGCAAAACCATTTTTTTAGGTTTCAGAAGAGGTTTTAAGCGTTAAAAACTGCAGCGGAAAAACGAGTTTTCGTTCTTATGCGTTTTGTGCGACAAAATGACTGTTTTCTAGGTACTCGACGGTGCTGAATCCGAATATCAAAATAGTGTGGACCCTTAGCGTCCCTAAAGCACCGATTTTGGCCTAGAAAATATTTTGGCTCAAAAACTTTCGCTATGAACACCGTTTTCGACAGTTGTAAGTCAGAAAAATGAATAGAAGGACGGTTAAATGAGTAATTTTCAAATGATTTTCTGATTCCAGAACTATTTTTATAAGCAAGAGATTTAAAACAGTCATTTTGTCGCTCAAAACGCATAAGAACGAAAAGTCGTTTTTCCGCTGCAGTTTTAAGTTTTGCACATTTAAAACCCGCTTAAAACCTCTTCTAAAACCTAAAGAATGGTTTTGCTTAGGTTTGGCGATGAGCTCTTTCATATGGCTGGATCAAAAACATGTTTTGTTTCGAAAAGTTTTCCAGCTTGAAAACCGGGTCTCTAAACTAAAATTAGGCCCAAACCAATGGGATATTCGGATTCAGCACACTCGATTACCTATTGTCCACTAAGCTTCTGGTCAAAAGCGTTTAAACAGTTGGGGTACTTCTCTCGTGAGAGCTGTATTTCAGATTATGTTTCAGAATATTCATACGTCATGAAAACTATAAGAATGTTAGTGTATAAAACAAGTTAATCGCTGGTGGCTAACATATATCATTATCTAACTTAAGGTTAAATACAAAAACTTGGTCGCAAAAGTGATCGAATATTTTGAGGTCATCTGCTATTAGTGGTGAAGTGCTAGGGAAATTTAAATATTCTCGTGAAGAATAATTAAATAAGTAACTTCTTTTACCCACAGTAGTTGGATAGTTGATGAAAACATCATTAAATAACCAATTAATTAGATTGAGAGCAAAAAATTGCAATCTGTTCCTTCCAACGTGCTTATGCTTCTTGTTTGCCGTCTCTCAGCGTTATTTTGTCGAATAACGAAGGATCGTAGGGTATACAAAGTTTTATAGAACAGAAATATTGTTTATCTTACCAGTTTCGAATGAACTCCCTAGATTCCGTACCAGGAAAAACAAAAGGTAAAAGTAACCCATTTTTGTTTCACCATCTGTTAGACCAAAGGATACCAGCTACAGACATGCTTAACTTGTCGAGCGGATTATCTTCTTCTAGTCAATATTCCACTAGATAAAGAGTGGAGATAATGATGATACAACCAAATAAACTCTCAAATGGCGATGCTATTGACAATCAGAATAACAGGAATATGGTTTTCCTTCAACACAAAAAATTTCTGATTCTATTTGGAATTATGTTACTATTTACTCTAACCGCCATTGCTTTGATAGCTGCTACGTTAGGAATTGTTGTTCAAAGATATCCAGAAGTAACCCATTCAACAACTACACCGAGAACACTTGCTGATTCAATTACCATCGATCAAATGTCAACACACTTAGATCAATTACAAAGAATTGCTAATTCAGGTGGAGGCACGCGAGCTATTGGTACGGCGGGATTCAATAACACGTTGGATTATATAACAACATATTTAACTCAGAATACTAATTTATTATTAAAAGAGCAATATTTTGATGCCAGTACCAGTCGATTAGCAAGTAATCCTGTATTAATATCCCAGATGAATAATCAACAGATCAATTACACGTATGAGACCAACTTTACACTAATACGAACTCTGGTTCGGCTAATTTCGGAACAGGAGTTGGAGTAACAGTCAATCCCGATATTGGTTGTACCGAAGATAACTGGCAGGCAGCCAGTGGTACTGTAGCTCTTGTAAAACGCGGCTGTAATTTCGTCGATATGGCTAACTTAGCAGCTAAAAGTGGCGTTGTTGGTTTAATGATTTATAATGATGGCACAGATTGTGACCGTTATGCCCTGATCACAGGTGCTATTCCACCGAACGCGAGCTATCTAGCTCTGTTTTTATCTTATCCGCTTGGTCTGACTCTTGCAAATGCTGCACAAAATACATCGATAAATACAAGTGTGATTATTAATGTTGCTTATGTTAGCGCAATATCGGTTGGCAATATATGTGCGGATACACTGACAGGTGATCCAACAAANCAATTGTCGTTGGCAGCCATAGTCATGGAGTGCTTGATGGAAGTGGAATCAATGATAATCGTAGGAGAAAAAGTCTTTTCGATCATCTTTGAATTTAAGTAGTCACTTTAGTTTAAAATTCTAAATATAAGCTAAAAAGTGTTAATAATTGAGCGATTGAGGAAGGTGATTTTAGTGTATCTATCTATGAACTCTTGAATAATTAATTAGGAATTCCTATAAGGACGAGGGAGATAAGTGAGTTGTGAAGCATAACTCTTCATGTTTTTGTCTGTCAGATTATTTCACTTCATCGTTCGTGTAAAACTTCGATTTCTGAAGGAGACCATGTCAGCAAAGGTATAATTGAGTCTCACTTTCAAAGAATGACTTGAAGCTCAAACAAATATTCGTTTAAAAGGTTAGTCGAGCTTAAAAGTGAGTCACTCACTTAGACATTTTTAATTTATCATGGTTTACGAAAAAATCAAAGACAAAAGTTGACTAAACTTTTGAACGATTATTTATTTGTGCTTTAACTCATTCTTTTGAAACTGCGGGAAGGAATATTATCCGGAGACTCAGTCTTACGTCTTGTATCTCCTCGCGAGCCTCAACGACGAGATGTTACGGGAGCTCGACTAACCT